TGTTATCAGTTGTCTTTTTAAAATGTTTATTTTTTATTATACTTTAAGTTCTGGGATACATGTGCAGAACGTGCAGGTTTGTTACATAGGTATGCAGGTGCCATGGTGGTTTGCTGAACCCATCAACCCATCATCTACATTAGGTATTTCTCCTAATGCTATTCCTCCCCTAACCCCCATTCCCCTCAACAGGTCCTGGTGTGTGATGTTCCCCTCCCTGTGTCCATGTGTTCTCATTGTTCAACTCCCTCTTATGAGTGGGAACATGTGGTGTTTGGTTGTCTGTTCCTGTGTTTGTTTGCTGAGAATTATGGTTTCCAGCTTAATCCATTTCCCTGCAAAGGAAATAAATTCATCCTTTTTATAGCTGCATAGTATTCCATGGTGTATATGTACCACATTTTCTTTATCCACTCTATCATTGGTGGGCATTTGGGTTGGTTCCAAGTCTTTGCTGTTGTGAATGGTGCCACAATAAACATACATGTGCAAGTGTGGTTATAATAGCATATTAACCTATGGGTATATACCCAGTACTGGGATTGATAGGTCAAATGCTATTTCTGGTTCTAGATCTTTGAGGAATCACCACACTGTCTTTCACAATGGTTGAACTAATTTACACTCCCACCAAAGGTCTAAAAGCATTTCTATTTCTCCACATCCTCTCTAGCATCTGTTGTTTTCTGACTTTTTAATAATCACCATTCTAACTGGCATGAGATGGTATCTCACTGTGATTTTGATTTGCATTTCTCTAATTACTGGTGATTATGAGGGTTTTTTTTATATGTTTGTTGGTTGAATAAGTGTCTTCTTTTGAGAAGTGTCTGGTTCATATCCTTTGTCCAATTATTAATGGGATTGTTTGTTTTTTTCTTGTAAATTTGTTTTAAGTTTGTTGTAGATTCTGGATATTAGCCTCTTGTCAGATGGATAGACCGCACAAATTCTCTCCCATTATGTATATTGCCTGTTACTCTGATAATGTCAAACCCACAGCCAATATTATACTGAATGGACACAAGACAAGGATGCCATCTCTCACCATTTATATTCAACATAGTATTGGAAGTTCTGGCTAGGGCAATCAGGCAAGAGAAGGAAATAAAGGGTATTCATATAGGAAGAGAGGAAGTCAAATGGTCTCTGTTTGCAGATGACATCATTCTATATTTAGAAAACCCCAGTCTCAGTCCAAAATCTTCTTAAGCTGATAAGCAACTTCAGCAAAATCTCAGGATATAAAATCAATGTGCAAAAATCACAAGCATTCCTATACACCAATAATAGACTAACAGAGAGCCAAATCATGAGTAAACTCCCATTCACAGTTGCTACAAAGAGAATAAAATTCCTAGGAATACAACTGACAAGGGATGTAAAGGACCTCTTCAAGGGGAACTACAAACCATTGCTAAAGAAAATAAGATAGGAAGAAACAAATTGAAACATATTTCACGCTCATGGGTAAGAAGAATTAATATTGTGAAAATGACCATACTGCCCAAAGTAATTTATAGATTCAGTGCTGTCCCCATCAAGCTACCATTGGCTTTCTTTACAGCATTAGAAAAAACTACTTTAAATTTTATATGGAACCAAAAAGAGCCCATATAGCCAAGACAATCCTAAACAAAAAAAGCAAAATTGGAGTCTTCATGCTACCTGACTTAAAACTATAATACAAGACTACAGTAACCAAAACAGCATGGTATGGGTACTAAAACAGACATGTGGTACTGATACTGGTACCAAACAGATATATAGACCAATGGAACAGAACAGTGGCCTCAGAAATAACACCACACATCTAAAACTATCTGATCTTTGACAAACATGACAAAAACAAGCAATGGGGATTCCCTATTTAATAAATGATGTTGGGAAAATTGGCTAGCCATATGCAGAAAACTGAAATTAGACCCCTTCCTTACATCTTACACAAAAATTAACTCAAGATGGATTCAAAACTTAAATGTAAAACCTAAAACCATAAAAACTCTGGAAGAAAATCTAGGCAATACCATTCAGGACATAGCCATAGGCCAAGACTTCATGACTAAAACATCAAAAACAATTGAAACAAAAGCCAAAATTGACAAATAGGGTCCAATTAAACTAAAAAGCAAGCTTCTGCACAGTGAAAGATTAACAATTCACACATATTAATGTCCATGAAAAACATAGTTCAATGATCATTTTTAAATATCCTAAGATTCTTGATTATCCAAAACTATACTGGGCTAAATAACAGCCACTGAAGGACATGGGCTCCTAATCACTAGAATCCTGATCACTAAATTACTTTAAAAGAAAAAAGGCCTTTGTATATATGATGAAATTAACGATTTTGAGATTGGAAGATTATTCTGAACTATCAGAATGGATCCTGATAATAAGGGTATCTTCACAAGAGGGATGCAGAAGGAAATTAGACACAGACAGAAGTGGAAAAGTTTATGTAATTACAGAGGGAGAGAGAGGAGTGATATGGCCACAAACCAAGGAATGCCTGCAACCACTATCAGAGCTGGACAGGACAAGGAAGCAATTCTCTCTCAGAGCCTCCAGAAGGAGCACAGCCATGCTGAAATCTTAATTATGGCCCAGTGATACTAGTTTTGGACTTCTGGCCACAGAACTATGAGCGAATAAATTTCTGTTATGTGAAGCCATCAATTTTTCGGTAATTTGTTAGAACAGCCAAAGGAATGAATTCAATGATATAACCACAAAAAGAAATATACTCTGAGTTATTTTAAAAGGACATACACACCATCTGTACACCTCTTTTTTAGGAAAAGGCAGTTCTTTGTGTCAGCCATTCTTCAGAAGTTCTAAATTAGATAACCTTAGGAATTGTCCATATAGAGTGATGATGGGTACTTTATTCCCAATTTATGTACTTACTTACCTCAAGTGCCTTGTCTATTGTTATGAATTTCATCCTGTATAATTATCTTATACTTCCTAAGTAGGAAAATATATTTTATTAGGGATTCATAAGACTAGTTATTATTGTTATTTTTGGGCCTCCCAAACTTTCTCTTCCCTTAAAAACCATAAACTGTATATAAGGAAGTTTGTAAATATGCATACCCCATCCAAATGCAAATAGGTTTATACTGACCATGACCTAGTTATTTACAGCCTTTGTTTCAATTCTGACTGACAGCCAAGGTAAAAATTACTTCAATTTAGGGGGCATGAGCCTATAAGTCTTCAAAGAGAGAAACCTCTGTTCACAGTAAGGAGAACGTTTTACCTGTATAAAGATTATGGTGAAATTTTTGGCTTGCCTCTGACCTTCTTAGTTCCACTTGTGAAACATTGCAAATGATTTTCAATCATTTTTGTGATTCAGAATTATTTCCATACTATATCAAAATATTCTATTAATTTTATGTATTTTTTCTTTTTATGATTATGAATGATTTTTGACAGAATAACTACTTCAGACAGTTGGCCTTTCAAAGGACAATCTCCTTTTAAATGGTTTGGACACTAGGTTTGCCATTGCACTGTGATTTACTTTTGCTGAATGATTATCAGAAAAAAGCCTCTATAAAAATCAAAATGGAATGAAGTATCTTTTAAACATGAGAAAATACAGCGACATTCCTGTATAGAAACCACTTCAGAAAACAAATGACCAGGCTTCAACCTAAATTAAGTAAAGGCAAAACTGTAGAAAAATTATAGAATGCTGCCAGACAGCATGTGAAAACTACATACCTGAACAGAAACTTGCATATGTGACCAATAGAAATTTTTCTTGGAAGTCTGAGTAACATGAGAATTACAGAAAGCTGCCAGGATTATGGGCTGAAGATTAAAGAAGGTGGTCATAAATTTCAGGGGATCTAATTCTGTTTGACACTTAAAAAAATGTAAATTGCTTTATGTGTTCTTTGTTGGTTCATTTAGACATCTTGCAAAGAGAATACACTCAGAAAACAGAGAAATCTAAATTCTATCATATTAATACTACATATTCCTATAGCATGAATTCATTTCTTGCATATAATGATTTATTAAATTGAAAGATTCCAAATACACCATGTCATTTTACTTAAAGTATAATTTATGAGCACTGATGCCATTTTTTGCAAGCCCTGTGAGTTCAACAGTCTATAAACTTAGATAATAACCATTAAGTTTTCCACTTTTTATCAGCTATTTTATAAACTTTATGGATCTGACTAAAATATAAGGTTATAGATTCCTAATATATGAATTCTAAACAAATGTTAATCTACTGCAAACCCAGCAATGTGACTGACAAAATATATTTAAGCTGCAGTTGCTGGAGATAAGCATCTGAATAAAAATTTCTTTTGAGTATTCAAGTACTACTTAGGGAAAATTTCCATAACAATCTCCAATGAAGGAAAGAAACTACAAATATTTGAATCTATGGTAAAAACTGGTATATACCAAGGCATAATAAGAGAATATTACTTTATTTATTTATTTATTTTGAGATAGAGTTTTACTCTTGTCACCCAGGCTGGAGTGCAATGGGGTGATCTCAGCTCACTGCAGCCTCCGCCTCTCAGGTTCAAGCAATTCTCTTGCCTCAGACTCCCGAGTAGCTGGGATTACAAGTGCATACTAGCACACCCAGCTAGTTTTTATATTTTTAGTAGAGACAGGGTTTCCCCATGTTGGCTAGGCTGGTCTCAAACTCTTGACCTCAGGTGATCCACCCGCCTAGGCCTTCCAAGTGCTGGAATTACAAGCATAAGCCACTGTGCCCAGATGAAAACATCGCTTTTTAAAAATAAGCTTAAACTAGTAAAATACTTGAGAAGAAAATATATAGTCAGTAACATTATTTCGTTCAATAGTCTAGACCCATTCTGTTGTTTGTAGGTCTTTGGACAAATTATCCAGGAACTACATACAATGATTTTTTGCTTGAGTCACTGTTCCCCTTAATCTCTTCCTGATTAAGTCCTTTTTTCCTTCTGATTTCTTTTGCATGTGACATCAAGGTAATGTTCTTCAAAGTCATGCCTGACTACCACCCTGTCATCCAAGATGTAATTAGGTGAGTAACCTGATTTTTGGTCTACCCTTAACTTACATTATCAAAACAAAGCAATTGCCACATTATTGTAAATACTATTTATGCCACATTCAACAGGGCCATTAACCTGCCAACTTCAGGAACCCTGTCTGTCCTCATCACCCAGGCTTAAACAAGTTATCAAAAATAAAAGATGTTCAAAACCTATTGTCATCTTATTGAATGAATAAATTAAGGAGAAAGTTGGTGAATAGAAAAAACACTGGGTTTGAATGTTTGTGTTCCTGATTTTTTTTTTTTTTTTTTTTTTGAGACGGAGTTTCGCTCTTGTTACCCAGGCTGGAGTGCAATGGTGCGATCTCGGCTCACCGCAACCTCTGCTTCCTGGGTTCAGGCAATTCTCCTGCCTCAGCCTCCTGAGTAGCTGGGATTACAGGCACGCGCCACCATGCCCAGCTAATTTTTTGTATTTTTAGTAGAGACGGGGTTCCACCATGTTGACCAGGATGGTCTTGATCTCTTGACCTCGTGATCCACCCGTCTCAGCCTCCCAAAGTGCTGGGATTACAGGCGTGAGCCACCGCGCCCGGCCTATGTTCCTGATTTTTTTGATAAGAGGTATAAGATTCTGCCATGACCATACTCTGCCAGCAGACACAATGGCCCCCAATTAGTGAAAATTCAGAATTAGTATTCCCATTAACTGAATCACCATCAGGAAAAATAAACTTCACACCGAGTAATAAAGAATTATTTAAATGTTTTGCTTGAAATATTGTCTCAACTTTTTGACCAAGAACCAATTTTATAAATCTAAGTTTAATGTATGCCCTAATTCTTTTATACCATTTGCTAGAATATAAATTGCTTCACCCTTTTGGAGCAGAACTTCTAAATGACACAAAATGCAAAGCACATATACATTTGGACCTAGCAATTCTGAAACCATGCAAAAACACATGTGCAAAGATATTCAATTGTGCATATTAATGAATAATTAAAGACAACCCAAACTTCATCTTTCAGAAACTGGCCAAATATTAATAAATTATGGTACAATTAGATACTATGTAGCTATTTAAATCAATGATGAATTGACTATATTGATAAGAAAGAAGATTCCAAACTTGTTAGAGGAAAGAAAGTACATTACAGAACAACATATAGACTGTGATTGTGTTGTATTTTTTGTGTACACACATGCATATATATTCATTTATAATTCATTCAGTAAATATTTCTTGAGGAATTACTATGGGTTAAGAAATGCTCTGTGCAGGGGATATAAAATGGTAAATAAGATAAGCAAGATAAATACATTTCACATTCTATAGTATAAAATGCAATGTTTGTAAGTGGATATAAAATGATCTGGGAGAAGGCGCACCAAAGTTTTAACAATGCATACTTAATCCGGGACTGAGATGGGCAAGTAAGAAAGAGGCAAGAGCAATTTTTATAGTTTGCCCTTTATATTTTTGTTTACTGTGTTTAAATTCACTCACAATAAGCATGTATTTTGCACTCAGAAAGAAAACCAAAAGTTTCATAACTCACATGGTTCAATTCCTCCAAAAGTTTTCTAAATTATCTCACATCACAACATAAGAACTTCAGGTGGGAACTGAAACTTAGTTTTTGTTTTTCTTTTGTTTGTTTTTATACCCAGTTTATACCCAGCTCTTCCCACATACCCATGATCTACTGATTGGTAATATTTCAAATGACTTTCTTCTCTCCCTCTTGATTGTAACTTTCACTGAAAGAAGGAAGTCATCTTATTTACCTTTACACCCTAGAATACTTAGATAAGTAAATTCGGTATTTTCAAAAGAGTTTGTGAATAAATGTGTTGATGGCATTGGAAATAAAAACTTCATTCTAAACAATTTTATTATTTCAGATAATGTAGACAATTTTATTTAACAGGTTGTAAAAGAACATTCTATTACTAGTCTCTTTTAGTGACATTACCTTTAATTTAAAATATTTTTGATGGTGTGTCTTGAAACATGAAAGGTAAAAACTTCCTGTTGCTAGTAAAGCTCTCTGCCCCAACAGTGACTCTTAAAATACCTATATTCTGTAGTCTCATTCAGTATATAAAAGTGGATCACTTATTTGATTGAAACATGACAGACATTAAGGATTTTTTGCCAAGCAATTCCACATACTTGTCCATACGTAAAAAATGATTTGGGGATCAACAGATTTGAATTCTGTTTAATAAACTTTAAAGTTCCTTACTAAACAGCTGTAATTCCAAAGGGTAAAATCCACTTACTCCATAATCTAAAAGTCTGTTGTATTTAGTAGGAATGAGAGAAGGGATTTATGTCCATGCATTCATCCTATTGGTATCAAATAGGCCTCAAAAAAAGGCAGGATTTTCCTAAATGTTATTTATTTAAATGTGGGAGAGAGATGGGTTGTTAAGAAGGCTTAGTGGAAACATAAATATGATTAATTGGGAAACAGGTCAAAACGCTATAGAAATCACAAAATTAAATGTTCCTTCTTATAGAAAAGGAGTTCACGAGAGTAACCCAATGTGATGATGAGAAGAAAATTAAAGTAAAATATAGGTGGCATTAATTTTGTACTTAATGAATATATTTAGTACATTAAGTACCACTGAGTGTACTAGGTGCTAGGGTTTAATAGGGGATGAAATCACATGGTGGATTACACAAGAGAATTTTATTATAAATAAGTATTCCATTTTGATAAGGGAGTAGCTATAAGATATGAGAAAACTATCAATGGTACCCTAGGGAAAATGGTGAGTACCTAAGGAAGGACAAACTGGTAAAGGGTACTTCTCAAGATTGAAGTTTGAGGTTTCTCCCTAAGGTTGGAGTTCACATCATTTTTTAAGGAGGCATAGGTCAGCCCACTGTATGGTACAGAAATCTGTCAATTTGCCCAGGCTTGCACTGGCCCATAGTCACAGGAGCAACAGGCAGCAATCCCCTGCTGTGCAGGTGGGGAGCAGGTGATCAGCAACCTCAGGTAACATACAGAGGGACTGAGAATTCTCCTGGATCTAAGGCTACCAGAAATTCTCCTGGATCTAAGGGCTAAGGCTGTCATCACTGAGGGGATTGTGTGTTAATTATATGTGACTGGGGAAGAGCTCCCATGATGTCCTCATTTCCCCCCGCCCTGATCCACCACACAGCAGCTAGAAACTGCAGAAGAGGCCCTTCCTCCTGCAGTGTCTCTCAGTGCACTCTACTGAGAACGGTTAACACTGAGCTCACTTTAATGAAGATATGCTCAAAGGGATTCCATTTATAACAGTAGATCATATATTGAAGGGTGAATCTAGAGCTGAGAAGAAAGACTGATAATTGGGACAATTACATGTAACTATTACCTTGAAGAATAGTAATTTGAAAGGTGTAGAATTTGTGATCAGGTACATAAAAATTAGCATTACGGTGGACCATCAAGAGAGGAAGCTCTTATCAGATGGGCAATACATAACAGGGTGGGATATAGATCCAATTTTATATGTGAATATAAAAAATAGAAAATAGAAAGTCAACAATAGGGGCATATATTTGTAGACAGCATAGCCCAGTTATGGGTAGAAATAAAGAATAATGTGTTAATTGTCTCTATTCCTCTGTATCGTAGTTTAAGATGTTCTCATTAAGACTTCTGCAAACCTAACTCAATCTTACAGCAAACTGTTTTAATTACCTAGCCTAAATGTGTCCCCAGTGAGTTTTCAGTTTTCTACTTCTGGGTCATATAGGTAAATGCCCATTTGGCAGAGATTCTACAGACCATGCATCTTTCTTCAAGAGGGACTTTTAAATGAGTGAGTAGGCATGATCTCCATTTCTCTTAAAGAATTCAGATTCTCAATGTACAGCTACATTTAATTGCTCATTTATTTTTATAATCATGTTTAGGAGCACTTAAGGTTAATCACGAAACCCTGGATATGATATCTCACGTGGCTGAGAGAATATGAAATATAAATCATTAATTTAAATAGGTAACATGAGCCATGGCATAAATTAGACATAAAATATTTTTCCCAGACATATTATTTTTGTCCTTTTGTGTATGTCTTTTTATTAACTGTAATTATTATTTACAGTTATTATTATTTCACCCTTGAAAATAAGGGTGAACTGAAGATTGTTAGTGAAATATTATTCAATGTATTTTCATTCCATGGAATGATTGTTGTCAGTGCAGTATGCTTAATGGTCTTGTGCTAGACAAATATAATAAAGCCTAGGGATTTTATCAGATGAATGGTATAAGAACAGAGACATTATAAAGACTGCATGATCAACAAAAGTATGGGTTGATGAGTCTTATTTAAAGAGATATACTATGGTTAAGCATGAGAAAGAACCAGGGGATTTTCTCAATTCACACGAAGAATCAATTATTTCTAGAAATGTCAATGGAGTTAATAAGGTTTGACAATGAAACTGGCCAATGGCAATAAATATTGTATTTCCTGCAGTCGCTCAGAGGAAGGGTATGATTATTATTCAATCATAGTTGTTAAGTACTTATGGCATGGAAGGCACTGTCATCAGAATTGGAGATTGGGCAGTGAGCAAATCAGGCTAGATCTGTGTTCTTACTCGGCATATATGCTAATGATAAGAGTCAGGGAAGGAAGAAAGAGAGGGAGGGAGGAAGAAAGGAAAAATAAAAATAAGTGATAGCACTACAGATTTGGGCAATGGCACTGGACATGGTTTTTAAAAAAAGCAAAAGATCAAATTGAGATATATTTTTAGAGAAGAGCCAATGAGCCTCACTAACATCAAAAAGTGTATGAAGAAAAATAGATGAACACAATAAGAATGCATTTAGTTATCAATTATGGACATGTATATATATTAGCTTATGAAAATCCTAATTGATGAGTTACAGCAGCCCTAAGAGAGATAAAAATTGGCATGTACCTGTAGATGAAGACACAGTATAAACTACAGGTAAAGAATGGAGGGCTGGGTGCGGTGGCTCACGCCTGTAATCCCAGCACTTTGGGAGGCCGGTGCGGGTGGATCACGAGGTCAAGAGATCGAAACCATCATGGTCAACATGGTGAAACCCCGTCTCTACTAAAGATACAAAAAATTAGCTGGGCATGGTGGTGCGTGCCTGTAATCCCAGCTACTCAGGAGGCTGAGGCAGGAGAATTGCCTGAACCCTGGAAGCAGAGGTTGCGGTGATCCGAGATTGCGCCATTGCACTTCAGTCCGGGCAACAAGAGCGAAACTCTGACTTAAAAAAAAAAAAAAAAAAAGAATGGAGTGGGGGCCGGGCGCGGTGGCTCACGCCTGTAATCCCTGCACTTTGGGAGACCGAGACGGGTGGATCACGAGGTCAAGAGATCGAGATCATCCTGGCCAACATAGTGAAACCCTGTCTCTACTAAAAACACAAAAAATTTGGCTGAGCGTGGTGGCGCACGTCTGAAGTCCCAGCTACTCGGGAGGCTGAGGCAGGAGGATTGCTTGAACGCGGGAGGCGGAGGTTGCAGTGAGCCGAGACTGCGCCATTGCACACCAGCCTGGCGCCTGGCGATAGAGCGAGACTGTCTCCAAAAAAATAAAAAATAAAAAAAATGGAGTGGGTAGCTTCCCTCATCCTCTATCCCTTACTACTAACAACCAAAAGGGTGGAGGATACTATAAGCTACTTCTGACCATGCGACTGCTTTATTGATATATTTTCTGCTTTGTATCCTGAAATCCAAGTAAACTGATAGCCCGAATATATTTTACCTGTACACTTTTTTTTGTAATTTCCAAACCTGAAACCAACTGATACAGGATATTAAAATTTGAGAGTTTATTAGACAGGGATTTGGAAATACCTTGGGAATTCATGATAGAAATCTGGAACTCTGGGATAGAATTGTGGATTAATATATAGATTTTTTCCATCTCAAGCTTAGAGATGGTACTGAGAAATATTAAACAAGATGAAGAAAAATGAAAATGGATTATTGCTTTTGTCGTAGTTGAAATCACTGGTAACATTTGCCAGCATGATTTTAGTTGGACAGTAGAATTAAAACTTGATAAATTTGGTTATAAAATAACTGTGTTGTTAAAAGAAATTGGAGATAGCAACTTGTACTGAGGCAGTGGGAGTGGGATTCACACTTGCATGTGCATGGCAATAGATGCAAGGTTAGGTATGCATGTGTTGGTAGGGTTGTGGCATCAGCAGGGATGGGGCATGGGGCAGCAGTGTCTTCATACATGCTCATGTGCCATGGCAGTTTTTAATAGAAGTAATTACCCATGAAGTGAGTTTTAAGAAAGATAATGGGAGTTTGTATCGTATTATTCTGTTTAACTTTAAACATTCCCACTTCCTTAAATAAAAAAGCATAGCTATTTCTTTCATTAAGTTTTGCCATGCTTGTGATGGATTAAAATGAGCTTTCCAACTGATAGAAGAATTAAGTCAATGAGAGCCATGGTTAATGCCATTAAGAGGCTAGAAATGTAGAAACTTAAGTCTTGCTGAGAGAAACCCAGTAGAATAGGTCAAGGTTGCAAAGTACATAACCCTTTGTTCATCTGTATCAACTACAGTATGAACAGCATGTCCTGGGATACTTGAGTAAAGTGGTCCTGCAAGGGGTAGGCTTAGTGTTTCACAGTTAAGGCAAGAACTTGGCACAAAGGCTATTCCTTAGTTGAATGGCCTCGAGAAAATCTGAGTGTATTACTGGCTTGATTACAGTCATTCAAAAAATGCCTTATTCCACAATAACTTGTAATTACACTTCATTCACTCTGAGACAGAAACTTATTTTATTCCTTACTCCTATCGTTTTAGCTACTAATAAAATCTGTCATACTTGATAAATGAGAGAGGGCTATTTACTTATTCTACTAGAAGAAACTTTAGATATCCAAGCTACTAACTTGGCATATGCATATGCATAGATTCAGGGGCAGATTTTAGATTTTAGTATTTTTATTTTATAGCTCCATTGTAAAGAAGCCAAAGTGAACATTATGAAAATAGGCATCCTCATGGGATACTCTACTTTAAAAGGTCATACTTTGGCAGAGGAAATGAGTGTGTGCGCGTGTGTGTGTGTGTGTGTGTGTGTGTATTGCATCTAAAGGACTTCGAAGCAAAACAGATTTTTATAACTCAGTAATGGAAATGGATGTCTCCTATATAATATACAAATATGTATCTGACTTACATTGAAATAAGTGACGCAATCAGCCTCTATTTATTCTATGCACCAGGAAATTTTTCCACCTGAATGTCATTTATTGTTCACAATGCTGACAATATGCTGGTGTCATGAGTAACTAGCCTCGTAAAACTGTTTGTCCCGTGTATATGGTATAATGCATCTGCGACAATAGCTCCATTTCTGTTGTTGACCTTAAAGCCTAAGTTACAAATCATAGTTTCTTTCTTTCATTACTATTCCGTATTTACCTTCTCATTCATCCCTACTAGACACAGCCAACTGATAGTTTTTAATTGGTGGAGTAGCCCCAAATATAATGCTCACAAGATCCAAATCACCCTACATTTATTGGGTTCTCATAGTTTCTCACTGACATCTATTATTGGGCAGGGGATACTAAAAGATGCCTCAGTTAATTCTCAAATTTTACGTTTAGCCTTCTTATTAGGTTCCTGTTGCTGCTATAACAAATTATCACAAACTTGATGATTTACAATAAGCCCAAACAACACATATTTATTGTATTATAATTCTGAAGATCAGAGGTCTAAAACAGGCTCACAGGTCTGTCTGTGTTCCTCCTGAAAGCTCCAGGAGATTGTTTTCTTGTCCTTTCCAGCTTCCAAAATTCATCTACACCCTTTGCCCGATAATCTCTTCTTTCCCCTTCAAAGCCAACAGTGTAACATTCTCAAATTCCTTTTCTTTTGTCCCACTGTTTCCGCCTTCTGTCTGCATAAAGATCTTTGTGGTTACATCAATGAGCCTACTTAGGTATTCCAAGAAAATCTCCTCATCTCCGTATCCTTAATTTACTTAAATCTGCAAAGTTTTTTTGCCGTATGAGGTAACATATTCACACATTCCACAGATGAAGGTGCGGACATCTTTTGAGCATTATCAAGACCACAACCTTTCTTTTCCTCATTATGTAGCAGCAATCCAAGTTTTACTTGGTAATCTGAATCAACCATCCCAAACAATATTCCAAACTCCTTTTCTCCTTGTCGAGTCATTAGTATGAGTAGTACAAAACTCATTATGTTGGTCAAAATGGTTTTAGCTACTAGTTTGATGGAACCACGACACTGTTGCCTTGGGCACTTCAATCTGCAAATCTATTAAGTCCAAAGTTATAGTCAAAAGAAGCAATATTTCTACAAGTGGATTATTAAGTTTTACAGAAAAGATATTTCTTTCTCTGACATCCTTTAGTATCTAGGTTTGTATTTTGTCAGTGGGGAAAGCAACGCTATATTAGTCTATGTTTTAAGAAATAAATTGTGTTCTATAGAACAAAACCCGTAAGGTATCACATTCAGACAGAGCTCTGGTTGAGTCTACTGGAAACCATTTTATCATGAATAGGCTTTTGATGATATAAAGGAATTCCAGGGATGAGAGCTTATTGCTACATATCTTTTTTTTTCTTAAAATCAGTTGGTTGTCTAGGGGAGATATTATGTGGACAATATGCTAACAAATAGTCCAATGGTATGCTATACTCATGACCCTAGCTAATGAGAAACAATTGTTAAAATTTTAAGCATTTTGCTAATTGGTTATTGAACACAGCTATTATTAAAATTAAAGTGTAAAGTTTACTCTAAGAAAATAATAAAATTTCCCTGAGTTTCTTATCACTTCTGTAAAAAGGCTTAGTTTCCTAAGTCCATCCTTATACCTTGATAATTAGAATTGCAGCCATATGTTTAGTTAATTTCTCTGATCATAAAGTGTACCAAAACTTATTTTATCTTCCTAAGAAAGGTATGTAATTGTAGTGCAGAATAGATCTGTATATTAAGTTCCCAAC